AAAATTTTTGTACGTGTGATGGCCTTTATTTAATTTAGATTTATTATAATTATACATGTCTCCTTGAAAAATGATGTTAGTCAATAGTTACTCAATAATTACTGTAAGTTATTGCCAGTCAACTCCAAAGTCAACTGTCGAAGTCGAATTGGAAAGACACTATATGAAATATAGAAGATTCGGATTTGAATCTCGGTAGTAGTATTGTTCACAATAAAATTATTTACAATGTTTAAGATTTCTTATCTAACATTAAATTAATAATATTCTTAATATTATTAAATTATTTGTCAATTTAATAATACTCTGAGTATAATATTAGGTGTTGGAATTAATTCGTAGCGTTTTTTAATGAAAGAATGTTATTTATTTCACATGAGCATTAAAAAATACATTAATGAAAGTACTTCCCATCACTTGTAAAACGCTACGAATTAATTCCAACACCTAATAATACTCTCTTTTATTCATATTTAATACTTTTTGTTCATGATTGCGTTTCAAAACTGAAAAAGATTTCGCTACGCAGTTTGTAAAATTAGAATTCAGTGTGTGTATATAAATTCACAATGAAATATTGGATCATCTAAAAAATATCCGCGGTTTTTTGTTCAATTTTTGAATGAAATTTTTCTTTATTGAAAATCAATTTTAATCAAGTATATATTAGCCATTATTATCTATAACCTTTTGCCATTTTTATTTGAGCACAAGATCCACTGATCGAATATAAAATTTCTTTAGATTTACGGATTTCTTTAGATTTATTTTAAACATAAATAAAAGTAAATTGTCTTCAATATTGAAGACAATTTTATAATATCTTTAAATGATAAACAAAAGCAGATAATAGGCACTGAGACACATCGAATCATTAAAGCTGGTAATCATAGTCAATTTTTATATTTAAGATCGTCTTAGGTACAGTCTTAAGATGTCATGAATCAATCAGAAAGCCACATTAGCATATCTTAAGACATTATTTAAGATGATCTTAAAATAAGAATTGACATAGATAAGAATTAAGAATTGAATAATAAGAATTGAATACCGGCCTGAATTTGTTTTTTATTCTTACTCTTTTTGAACAGATATACGGTGCAATAAGTTAAAGTAAAACAAATACACATCTGTTTCACTTTATCTTATTGTATTGTGTGCACCAGTTCAAAGAGTGCAGAAATAAAAAATAGACCTAATGTTCAGAATTACAAATCTTTCAAATCTTTGGAACATCAGATTTTTAGATCATGCAATTTTAGATTTTGATCTAACAATATTAAATATAAATATTTATAAAAAAATGGAGATACCATAAAATCCAACAGTGAGGAGCGTATATTAAAATTTGCTACACATTAAGATATTAGGTGTTGGAATTAATTCGTAGCGTTTTACAAGTGATGGGAAGTACTTTCATTAATGTATTTTTTAATGCTCATGTGAAATAAATAACATTCTTTCATTAAAAACGCTACGAATTAATTCCAACACCTAATAATTTGAAAGAGATAACACTTTTTTTATCTAAGATAAAAATGGAGGTAATATGTATTCTATTATTCTAGATAGGATAAAGTCATTTCTTTTTCTTATCTAAATAATTATCTAGATAATTTTAAATAGATAACAGCAAACACTGCTTACAGAAATCCAATTTTATTTTTTATTTTTTACAGGTCGATTTAATATTAAAAAAAAACGTAATAATAATTACTTTGAGTAAAAGTCGAACAATGATACTGAATAATTAATCACTGTCCTCCAGTATTAAACTGTAAAGGTTTCAATCGCGCAAAATGTTTTCTAGCTTCATCATCGTCCTCGTCTTTCATTTCTTTCGCGAATCGAATTTGCAATTTCAATACGCGCGACGGTCGTTTCTTCTCACGCCGCGCTACTGCTTTGTGATGATTTCCGCGAAGTCTTTCTCTCCATTACAGTACAATGAATGACTTGGACATGTCGTTTGCATGCATATACTGCACCGTGACAACGCGTGACAACAAACGATAGTGTGTTATGTCACAGATAACGAGCACGCCAAGTAACTTCGTGAAGTTACGTTGGAAGTTCACACGATGATTTATGTTCGCGAAATATCGCGATATGTACATTCCTGATGATCTCACCGGTATTTCAAGAAGAACAACTGAAATTATTACGCGCTTCTCGAAGAATCACATGAGCAGAATCGCTGTTGATGGATCTCTTGATAATTTATTTTACGTGTTGTGAATGCAAGCGCGAATATCAGCCAATAAAACTTTATGCTATAAAACTTCATTTTGCTTCATTAAAGTTAAATTGACGTATTTTTATATGTCGATGTGTTCACAATTAAAATCCTGTTTTTTTCTCAAATTCTCCTCTCTCTCTCTCTCTCTCTCTCTCTCTCTCTCTCTCTCTCTCTCTCTCTCTGAGAGATATGTGTATAAACTTTATAACGATATCATTATTATTCTCCTCTTATAATTTGTAACTTAATTATTAATAAAATATGCGACATTAAAAAAATTATAACGTCTTTTTTAAATTTTTTGAGAAAGCTGATATTCAAAACAATCTACACTGTTGCCGTTGTTGGATATTAAAAGACCAATGGTAATCCAATCTCTTATATTAAATAACATTTTGTTTATTTCTAACTTCTATACGTGTCAAAATGTAAATCAATCCATTTCCGTAATTAGTTTCAAAATAAACAACGTTCATATTAACGTATGCACTTAATAATTAGTTACTATTATATAATACTTAGACAAGATAAAATGATTTTTAAATAAGAAAGCTACCTTACTCGATCCGAGCTAGATCTTTTTTCTACTTAATTATATTTTGATGTAAATTTATATATAATCATATCCAATTTTCTAAACTAGGCACCGAAATAATTCTTTTTGAAATGTAATTAAACTGAAAAATAGGAATAACGTTTTATTGGAATTATGTTGGAATAACGAAATTAAATTGACAAGCAATCTAATTTACATTGATTTTTTACATTGATTATATCAAATTTATATTGAAATTAGCGGCAACTTTAAGTTAAAATTACGATTTAATATTAGCTTTTTCTCGGTATATCGGATCTTAATGATATTGATACTAATAAATATTTTAAAACATTGTAAATAATTTATTGCAAAAAATGTTACCTCAACTAGAATTTGAACTGGTTTAAAGCTGGATTTTCTTCGTGACGGGTGTTTTTACCAATTCAACCATTGAGATATATAGTGATATTTGTTATTACATAATAAATTTATACATAATATTTATTATGTAATAACTAGTATTAAGGAAATATTTGTTATTTTGCAATAAATTAGTTATAAGGTTTTAAGACGTTCATTAGTCATTATCATCATATTAAATTACTTGTTACTTTAATTCATGATATTACTATTCTAGTTTGAGACTACGTTTCAGGACAGAAAATGATTTCGACGCGCAGTTTACAAAACCGGACATGTATATAAATTTACACTGAAATATTATTAAGTACTAAGATTTATCTCAGAAATAAGGAATTTTCTTTAATTGTGTGTGCACATATCGGACTAACGTCATTTATTGTTATAAAAAGATCTGTGTTAGGTAATCAACGATGATTCATGTAGAGTTAAAACGTCATGTTAGAGTTTAAAAAAAAAAAGAAAATGCGCGAAATATACGTATACGCGAAGTATGCGTTTCTCGAAAAATAAATGTTATATAAAATTATAATTTAGTTATATTTAATTTGTTTATAAAAATTATGATATCAAAATTACGATTAATGAAAATTTGTACCTGCCATAAATTTATATTAAAACGTACTTTTTGTTTAAAAACAAATATTAGATCATTACAATTAGTCAAGTATTTGATTACATAATTACATGATTATATATTACATATATTATATTGATATGCAATAAGAGGTCAAAATAACAAGAAAACATTCTTGTTGAACATCATTTAAAGATTTAAAAATAGATATGGAATTAATTACAACTAGCTAATTGTCTATCAACATTATGCACATATTAGACAGTCAACAATGAATATTCATGTAGAAATGAAAAGATTACATACGATAGTGAAAAATATTATGAGAAACATTAAATAAGAATTTTGAGAAGGAAGTGAAAAGAAAGATAGCTTAACAGATTTTTGCTAATTAAAGAACCACCACTAATTACCTACGATTGCTAGTAGTGATAATCTCGTATCTCGACCGTAACAATGTAAAATTTCGTATTGCGGTATGCTCACTCGGACACGCGAAGATACTAATAGTCGTTCAACGAGCGCTATGGTTTTACGCGTGGTAAAAATTGTACCATCGAGGTCATATGCCCGTACAAAGAAATGTACGCCAGTTATATCATTGCTGCGATCGGCACTGGTAACAGGACGAACAGTATCGCGCTGCATTCGCGGGAAACTGCAGCTGCATCTTTTAGTGCTGCGTTCTACCTGCGCGGTGGAACAAAAGATACATTCACGTATAATGTGCTTCGAATCGTTTGTTTTTCATTAATCATCATCGATTTGTCATTTTTTATGCATTTTAATGTAGACGCAACGTTCAATCGATCGTGCATTAAATTATATTTTATATGCGTACTATATTTATCTAATTATATGTGCGCGATATTGCCTCCAGTCGTAGAGAACTCTTTTCAAATGAGTGCAAGAAAATAAGTGTTGTTTAAGAAAACAGAAATAACTGTTTATCGAGGAAAAGGAACAATACCGTGACACTGATGTAACGTGTTATCCATCTCAAATAAGCAGATGGTAGACTAGTTGCGTAACTCGGTTGCTAGTTTTTTATTAATAAAATAAAAGGATATAATACTCGCAAAACGCAGGAATAATGATATGTTAACGATGCGAGAAGTGCATTCTACAGAATTAATATAGATATACAGATTTTAATTATACGTACGTTTGGCGCGGATTCTGAGAAAATGACCAGCATTGAAACAGCGGCAGGGAGACATTGCTGTAAGAGTAGAATACTACCAACCGGATATTGGCTTCGTAGAGGCTGAAGAAGGCGTAGCTGTGTCACACACAGTACAACGAAATGAGAAACACAACTATCATGTTCGACGCGCATATTGCAACACAGGAAAGAGTTAATCTTTTATGATACACTCTGAAACATTCACGAGACCACAAAGTATTTCGAAATGACTCTTCTTTAATTTATATTTTCAAGAATAACTAATGGAGATTAAAGGGAAGTTAACAAACATCGTAGACATTGTGTGTGAGATGCTTCATCATATAATCACTTATTGATGTTACGATATCTTGAATGTAACATAATTAACAAAGTGTTTATAGAATAAACAGAATAAAATATTCTTCTGGAAATAGTGCAATTTCAATCTTCAATATCTATATGATCGATTAATTATTATCGATTAATTCAAACGTATTTATTTCATTATTTATCAAAAACATATTAAATATTGTAGTAAATTGATATAGAAAGGAAGCAATTTGTTTTCTCACCTTGTTTTATTTCGCACGAATGAATCACGCTGTGTTTTGAACTTTGCCTTATTGATACATACTTGATCTAGTCGATTTGATGCTCAAGTCTGAGAGACTCAAGATTCGTGCCCCATACCTGCGGCATAAATAATTTTTATTCAAGAACGTCCCACGGTCAATATTGGCTATAAAAATAAAATAAGCTGAGTTAGCGTCCAATCAGTATTTAGAGATTCAGCGAGATCATTGTTTACTCCCTGCATATGCATAGGTTGCCCGTAGGCACATAAAACGCACACACGTGCATGCATACACATAAATACGTGCACGTGTACACATTTATCTCTCCCCTACATAGATGTACTTGTTCAGGAATATCAGTAGAAGGAGGTTATCTGGTAAAGCTGGAGACAGGCGGTCGGCCAATATAGTTGTGCGAGCGACAGCGCGATCCACGATTGAATGATCGTGTGATTTCGCTTTTTCGCGAGTTACGATCAAGTAACACGTCGATCCGAAGATTTCATAAATATTAAATGAAATAGATCATTGATCTATTTGCTATCATGCCGCAGGGAAACGAGAACAGCAACTGTGTCGAGTCGAGGACTCCAGCAAAAGATCACGAGCTTTCAATAGGAAGTGACTCGAAGAATCAGAGGACTCTCAGCACGTCCGATGTCAAGAAACAGGAAGATCTAAAAACTTGCAAAGCTATCGACAATATGCCGGAGCTTGAGAACAATGACAAGTTGGACGACGAGCAGATCACCTTGGATTTGAGTGAACCACCGCCGGAAGTCATGGAGTACGCCAGAAGGGAATTAGGAGAAACCGAGGAGGTCAAGTGTCAAACGTTGCAGGAATTCCGTGACATGATATTCGGTAATTCAAATTGTATATTGTTAGTTTGAAACAATAGTCAACGAAGTGTCGATGCTGTAAAATCGACAGAATTGACTGAAAGAAAAGTGTTATACAATCGCAAATTAAATAAAACAAAACAAATAGTTTGTGGTTCCAAGAATAAATTCAATTCAAGAAAAATGCCTATAGGAGCCTTCGCTTGTTAGTACGTAAATAATACATGTCTTAGCGAGATATTACTGTGTCTCCAGATATTCGTGTATATAAGGCGAAAGGATGTAATTTTTAAATAATAAAAATATTATAAGGACATATATGAACAAAATAGTCTACATTATATGTGTTCTTAATATACGTTTTAATTGTTTGCGAATTTCATCTTTTTGTCTTATATATATATATATATGTATGAATATATTATTTACGCACTACAACCGCAAAAACTGTTATGGCACCTTTCTTGTAATGAATATAATCGCGAAGTTTTAGATTTTATTGTTAACAGTTGTTTGTGATATTAGCCATTTTGATATTAGCAATAATAATGTTGATATTTCTGTAAATGTGCATATTCAATTTTTATTGTTATATTCGTAAATATACTTAAATGGCTTAACATTTTTTTTTAGAAAAGAATTTTTAAAAAATTTAAAAAATTAAAAAAATGTTAGCAACAATGTTTCCAAATGTAAATGTACATATTTCTATTGTTATAAATACAGAAGCAAGCAATTTCTCTTCTTTGGACTAAAAATTTTTGAAGAAAGAATTTAAGGGAATCCTAAAGCCATCTTTATTATCGACTAAATCGTAATTTTTGTGTAACAAAATTACGATTACTTTTTTTCTCTTTTACAGATTCAAAGATCCTTTTCCACGATTGAAGTATATGCATTAATATCTGTGAGGTGGAGTTTATGCCGAGAACAACAAAAAATTTCGAAATCGATATCTTACCTCGGACAATAGATTTTTAAACCAGTCGTAAGAAATGGACGAAAATTAATTATTCTTCTCGCATTCGATGTTGATCAATTTCTTATAGCTTAAAACACTTATTGTAGATCCAGACATAAAAAAATTTTTTGTCGTTCATGATATGAATTTCACTTCACGTATTAATGCGTGTATTTAATCCTAGAAAAGAATTTTCGAATCTGTAGAAAAGGAAAAAAGTAATTGTTATACAAAAATTACTATTTAGTTGATAATATAGACGGCTTTAGAATCCCTTTAAAGAAGATATCAGCAACTGTGTTTCCATAAGTACATATTTTTTATGTTATATCATAAATATAGGATGAAAATATTTGCCAGAAAATCTCTTGAATATATCAGCCAGATATATTTAATGACTAAAATTCATAGAATTTGTCGCGAGTAAGTAGAAAAATATTGTCACATTTATATTATTCAGTGTTAACAAGCTTCTGTATGCATTCTTTCACAGAGAGAGGCGAGTGTTTGCCACACAGAATGGACGACGCTTTTCTCATCAGATTTCTTCGCGCGAGAAACTTTAATATAAAGAGTGCGCATAAGCTGGTGAGTTATAGATACATAGACATTGAGAATGACAGTTGCAATGAAGCGGACAGTTGAAATCGATGAAAGAGGCGTACGCTTTTATTATTAAAAGTATGCTCGCGTCAATGCTCTTTTTGTCACGTAAAGCTGATAAGAGTTTATCGTGCGCAGAAATAGAATGTCAGTCACGAGACAAAGAAAAATGCTGCAACTGCAAAATTATTAATAATATTTAGTTCGATATATGCTGTGTTTGGAAAATGTATAAAAATAAATATTTGTTAGCACTTATTAGCAAGCCTGCGATATCTTGTTTCCTCAAAAGATTATTGCAGACTTATTATTGCTACTAAATATTGATAAAAATGTTTATTTCCATACATTTTCCAACATATGTCGAGCGAAATGTAATTAACAATTTGTAATAAAAAGTTATAATGATTGTGAAGTAATGAATCAATTATTGTTTTTAGATCAATAACTTTACGATATATTATTCAATTTGATCATATAATTATTCATCAGCTGATTCACGTTATTTACATAGAAATGAAAGAAAAATCTATGAATTTAATTATGCATTATATATATAAAATGTAAAACTATAGTTACGTAAATAAGAGTAAGAAAGACTTCCTTGAAGAAAGTGTTCCTTGACATAATTTTCATAATTTTAGCAATTGATTTTTTAAATCGATTGTCACTAATTATTATGATTAAACTATAATATACTAATATGATAAGAGCAACCTTTCTCTATATCCCAGAATCAATCTTGTTTAGGTTTTTTTATAATAAGTTTTTTTATAATAAGTGAAACACGAACATGCTACTTTATAGCCAGTTTATTTGATAGTGGGATAAATTTTCATATAATGCGGTGTAAGTTTACTATACCGCAAACTCCATATCAAATTAATGACCTAATAGAATTCAAAAACATATTGCGGATATATTCTGATAAATATTATATCTCTTAAAGTTATTCTGTAACGATTGAATGCTATTACAGAAAAAACATATGTAAACTATTTTAGATGTAGCTTGCTTCAATACAAAAATATTAAATTGAACACATTTTGTCGGAGTTAATTTATAATTGAATGCACGATAACAAGTCAAACTTGACTTATATGAGTCACTCCATTTCTATATACAGTACATCTTTACATACGTTTCAATTTTATTTAAAAAGTTCCTGTTATTCAAAATGTGTAGCAGCAGAAACTTTTTTTTAACCCAGTAAGCAAAAAATTATTATTATTACAATGTTACTGTTATAATATTATTGTTGTGTATCATTATTACAATTATATTCAATAATATATAATAAAATATGTTGTATTTAAAAAATATTATATAACATTATTATGAACAAATTTTAGCACTGATTTGGAGATTTTAATAATATTATCAGAAATATCGTTACAAATAATGATGCTCTAATCAATATCTTAGGAACGTTGATTGCAATATTGTGAAATGTAGATTCAAAGTGTAAAAGGCGAAGTTCCTAAAGCGAAGTTCAAATTCCGACGAAATCGCCAAAGGTCGCTGTTTTTTCAATGCAATGACATGTTTTTATATGTCACACTAATATTTCACGCACCTATGATACACGCAGTCGCACGATTGTGTCAATTTTCGTATAATAAATTCATCGCGATAATGCGTTTAAGTCTAATTATAAGAACTCGATTATCTTATCGTTATTTGTTCGTACAAACTACGTGTGTTTGTGGATTACTATTTCGTAAATACATTGCAAAAGTTTTGTATCAAGCAAATGTTATCACGACTTGACAACTTGAGACGCCATTATACTAAGAAATAATAAAAAATATATCAATTTTGAAATTTTTGATCGCCCTCAGCATAAATTCCATCTCACAAATACGTATTAATGCGTATACTTTAATCCTGGAATAAAGGATTTTCGAATTTGTGAAAGAGAAAGAGTATTTGTTATACAAAAATTATATGAATTAGTCTAATACAGACGGCTTTAGGATCCCTTTAAGTATCCATTGAAGTAATGTTTTGCGAACTATTCAGCATTTAGCAACATTGATTCAACATTTATTTATCACATAAGTTTGAAAGAATATTGGATTCCTGAATTAATTTTTATGTACACAAAGCAAAATGAAATATTTCTAAAATACATTTAATTTACTTTCATTTTGGAGGGGAAAGAGAGAGAGAGAAAGAGAGAGAGAGAGAGAGAGAGAGAGAGAGAGAAGGGTAGGTCTCTACACTTTATAGAAATCATTTTATTAAAGCATGGGTAAAATAATGCCTTTTATTCTGTTTCATGTCATTTTTTCTACGAGAAATATTATTCCGTTATGTATATCTAGTGGCAGTACTTAAATATTCGAAAATACATATATGTATAATATTATTAGATAATATTTTAATAATGATATTTAAAAAATACATGAAAATGCTGATAAAATTCATATTCAATATTTCAAAATTTTTATCTTATACCATGTTTCTTACATATGTTTCTTGCTTACTATACATCAAGCTGAAGAATACAAAATTTTGAAACGTTTGAAAAATTACTTGCCCCTTTTTGAATTAGATTTGTTATTTTTTTATTGTAGATAATATTTTATTGTAGATAATACTTTCATTTCATTTTAATAAAACTTAAAAAAAAGTATCTATGTTATAAAAAAGAAAAAGAGATATATTTTGCGATAATTTTTCTATTGTTTCTTTTGCCAAATAGAAACGGGATGTGTCTGTTATGTTAATGTGCCAACCTTTTTTAAAACCTGATATTTTTATGCGATATTTATTATTATGTAATAAAATATCTAGTCAATATCAAACCGCCTTTAAACGAATAAAATATATACAATGGTTAATCTTTAACACGTATCAAATCACAAAAATATTTATAAAAATATTCAGCAATAAAATGAGATAAACATTAGAAGAATTTATCGACATAGAAGAGCAAGTTTTTAGAAGAGCAAAACTTTCTAAAAATAAATTAATTTACATAAAATTAATTTGTGCAAAAACGTATGCATAATTTATTAAGAAAAAAAGAAAAAATTTCTTCAAGTTATTTATATTTTGCACTCCTAAATTTTCCAATAATATGTACTTATGTAAATGGTCTTCTCTACAGAATTAGAGACATAGTTTGAGAGATATAAAATTGTAAATTAGCAAATAACATTTAATATGCTAAGTTAATTAGACTGAATCATGCATTTTTCTGTCATTTACGCAGTTTAACTTTAAAAATACCTAAGTATTAGTTAATTTTTATAATGGACTTTGCTTGTTTTTATTAAATATATGTATATGTGTATCAAATTTATACATTTAATAGGAACATAAATATAGAATAAATCAAATATTAAATGATTCGTAAATAATTACGTAGGTAGATATTTATTTTTTTTGAATGTCAGAAATATATATTTCAATCCTACATAAACAGTAATTTTAATCTCGTTTAGAAGATTGCGCCATTTAGGATCATTAGCGGAATTGGATATTCAGAAAAGTAATAAGAAAAGTTTATTATGCATAGTTATGTCCAATGTAAGTCAATCAATTCAATATAATTGCAACAATATTCTGCATATTTGTTTTCTTCTATCATTAATCTTATCAAGAAGTAATCTAAATTGATTTAATCGCAGCAGAAAATCTATCTTCTTCTCTTTTATTTATGTTTATATTAATTTTCATTATTTTATTTTATATTTTCATTATTTTATACTATCTTGGATTGTGTGCTCTGTAATTTAGTCCGAAATCGTTTTCCACAAAACAGTAAATTTTTGTTCAAAAATGTGATTGTAAATAATATTGATAATAATGATTATTAATAACAACAATTATTGATAATAATTGTTGATTGTTTCAAAATATTTTTGTTTGCAAGATAAGAATGTCATTTTGAATTTTATTGTTTATAAAATTTTATTAGGAATGTTGAAATAACGACTATCTATGACCTTTGTCGGCAATTAATAGTGAAAATACATCAATAGATAAAGCGCGGACATGAAGCGGAACTTCTAGTTATACAATTATATCAGGGTGAACTGATCTACCTTTCAAGATCTTTCAAGATCTTTCAAGAAATACCTGGAGCGTTTGTGTGTGTATTCCACGAAAATTAGAATTAGCGGAAGTAAAAATCTATTCTAAATCTTTTTAGAACAGAGCAATTATTAATTTGCTTTTAATAATTGATTCAATGACCACGGTATAATTTCAACATTTTAACGGAAAATAAAATAAAGATTGATATAGATTTAAAGTAATTCCCCATCCAAACTAGCTTTAAGATGACTCAATCGCTATCTCTCTATCGCTCAATTCTCTTATCTGCATATGCATATGCATAAACAAACAGCCTATTCATATGTACAATTGACGAGAACAGCCGATGAATAATTGACTAATGATGTAGTTTATACCAATCTAACAATCAAGAATTCATAATATTAAATTGTGATAATGAATGGAATGTTCAGCGTGTGTGACCAGCGTTTACTATTTTATAATTCAAATTTCACGCGAAATGCTTTCATGACATTTGCTCGTGAATGACAATACAGAACGTCGAAGCTTATTTCTCTCAAGGAATCTTTCGATAGATAATGAATTACTACAACTTCAAAGAGGAACATCCGGAGATCCATCAGCAGCTGAGCTCGACCGAGATGAGGTACATAGGTGAAGACAATGTGATCACAGTGCCATCGTATAGAACTCAATGCGGTAGGCGCTTAATGATCTACCGTTTTGGCAATTGGAATCCGCGTAAATATCCTGCCGAGATGCTCTTCAAAGCTACAGTTGGAATCCTTGAAATCGGCATGCTTGAACCCAGACAACAAATTATGGGTGGTATAGCCATTTTCGATTTAAAGGATATCTCCATGACACACGCATGGTCTGTGACGCCTCAGGTATATCTGATGCCTCGTTATTATTTTTCCTCTTTTTTCCTCGGTGAATAAAAGTTTTGAAAAATGTCTTATAATCAAAAATAAAAACAATAATAAAGGTCAGGTATTAATGTCTTATAATCTTTTTAAGAATTTTTGATATTTTTAATTGATAAAAATATTCGAAAAAGTACTATAAACTTTTTCAGAATTTACAAGAGAAAAATTTCCTTCAGAGAAATTATAATATGAGAAATCTCAGAAAGAATATTTTAAAATTTATATATAAAGAATTCTAAAAAAGATGTAGACTTTTTTAGTACTTCTGTGAAAATGTTCCAATTGATAAAAAAAATCTAAGAAATTTTCTGAAACCTTATAAAATTATTCTAAAAAATTCTGAAATTTATTCAAGCCGAATATAAGACATGTCATCAAAATAGCGTCAAAAGTTATTCTAATGAATGATCACTAATAATAAAATAAATCATTAAAAGTCATTAAAAGTCACTTTTCAATCATTTATGATTTACTTTAACGTTATTGTGATATTATCGTGATTTGTTCCGCTTAAATTTCGAAATTTTGAAAAATGATGAAAAATCGTAAGAAAAATGTTTATCAAAGTTTTATTACATGGAATTTGATATTATTTATAGATTGTTTATGACAAATATAGTTGTACAAAATTAAAAATGGCAAAGGAGCGCTAATGTAATAATACAATATAAGACATGAAGATGAATCCTTCTTTTAGGTGGCAAGCATGATGTTGTCTGTGATGGTAACTGCGTTTCCTATTAGAATTCACGCGCTGCACATCCTTAATCAGTCGTGGGTCTTCGATGCGATCTTCGCAGTTTTCAAACCATTGCTCGATGCCAACATGCGAAACAAGCTGTTCTTCCACGGTAACAATTACGAGAGTCTGCACAAACACGTCTTGCCCCAGTACTTGCCAAAAGCATATGGGGGCGTAAGGGAAGAGTTGCCCTACTACAAATGGATTCAATCCATAATTAAAGATCCGAAAATCGTCGAGGGGTTGAATAAAATGGGATACATTATTACGGACGATATTCGCGACTCTTTCTCATGATTAAAGTTAATCGAATTCTGAGAGAGGCGAGTTTCAGGAAAATTTTAAAACTTGTATGTATTTTTTATATGCATGACCTACTATTCAGCAATTAGTTTGCACATTATTATCGGGTAACACCATTAGTTTTTGTTATTGTATCTTTTGATCTTTCGATTAAGCATATACGTTTTGAATATGTTTTATACAGTTTGTTTTATATTAATTTTAGATCAATCTTAATCTTAGAACGCTATTAATATTGAGTAATATAGCTATTAATACGTAAATTTTACATATAGAAAAATAGGCCACTCTTACTTAATAACGCAAAATTTTCATACATTTTACATTTTTATGACAAAATATTTATAATTTAGAATTTAGAAATACAATACAATTCTTAAATATCAACACATTTGCATGCAGCATTGTTCATCATACTTAAGTTTCCTACATAATTATTTTTAATGATATCTAACAGAATTATATTCAAGTCTGTATTTAATTAAATTTTTGAAAAAATGTTTCAAAAATCGTATGTAACTAAAGGAATTTTACGTATACCTTACATTTATCTTAACTTGAAAGGAAAGAAAAAATAAGCATATTATCAAATTTCTTCTCAAAATCTTAAATGATATGGATTGTGTTATAAGTCCAATGTGGCCTCAACATTTACTAATAAAATATATAATACAAAACTGCTTAAAAATTGAAAATACTTATTACACTCTTTGTTACTGTTCACTAGAGAGTCCAAAGTGATATACAACTGAATTTTTTAAAGCTTGTCCCTGCTTTCATGGCAAATTGGACTCCCTGCTGACCACTGACTGAAGACATAGCTTTAGCGGTCAATAATCTCGCTCACTTGCACGTAAAATTTACGTACGATAGCATTCTAAGGTTAAGCACGTTAAAGCATTTTATGTTATTTATATCCATGGTATATTGTACTTGTGATTATGTATTCAATGTTTATAAGGTCTAAATAAAAGTTTTACTATGATCAAATGGACGAGTAATCACCTGTATCAAACTATTCCGATATTTCGCATACATGATACGTCGCGATTGCAATTACCATGCTTTACCGCACCTAACAGCGTAATATTTTTCGCGATAAGAATCATTGTGTTTCTCCACCACGCTTCCACCTGATAAACCTAATGCTATTTTGGCTCTTCACCGAGTCACTCCTATCGACGTGAGTTGATTTCCCTTTCCGTGATTTATCAACAATCCTGCAATCGATTGATATCGCGAAACGATCCATCCTATTTGCGATTTTTCCTCCACGTTGTGAAACATACTTCATCGATTAATTGAGATTCAGACTTGCATCGGATTTCTTTCCTCTTGTAGTAAAATCACAGCGAACGCAAAGAAAATCCATCGTGACTCAAGAGTTAATCGGATTATTGATGTTTTCAGTAGAAATAGATAAGAATAATTCCTCCAATGGTACGTGATCCGAAAAATAAGAATAGCGAACGCAATTCGTTCCGATAATAAACGAGCTGTTATATACAGAAATTGAATAAAGACGTCAAAAGAATGATAAACGTAATTGAAAGATAAATTATCTTAAGAATGAGTAACTGAAATTTGTAGAGCAATTCATTGAATGTCACGGGAGTTAATTGAATGGTTTTTCAAATAATCATTTATTTAGTTACACTCACTTGACCTCAAATAGTTAACCAGATTACAATTATATATATATATATATATATATATATATATATGGTGTGTGTGTGTGTGTGTATTTTATATATATATATATATTTGTGATTGCAGAGTAAACCGATGAAGATATAAATTGATAAGAGAATCTCTTGTAAAACAATTGATCGGTAAACCATGCTCGGAGTAGTTTTACACGTCGCTATGTAAAACAAAACGCTTTTAATCCTTTGAAGACCGGGACTTTCTATCAAAATAACTTATGGAAGATCTTGCTTCCTAAAAGCTTTCGCTGAATTCAATTTTTCAGAATTCTAAAATTAAAAATTAAACAAAGTATCTGAAGGCTCAAAGAATTAAAATTTAAATAAGAAACAATACAGTCAATGCATAATATTACCGTTAACATATTGACAATTCAAATACAAAATCAAAATGTTTTGATTTACACTACATTGATTTTAAAATTTAAATTTAAAAAATAACCTGTATAAAATATTATCGTGAAATTTGATTCTAAAATTATTGGTATATCTGAGTTTATTTGAATGTATAGTTTAAATTAAAAAATGTATTAACCCTATGAGCGAGGATGTAATGTCAGAGGACTCATAATTAGACTTTGAAAGTCAGTTTGGAAAGCAATATATACTAACTGTTTACCATAGTTTTATTTGTAGCACCGATGAGCTTCAAATTAAAAATTTGATGTTATACTTTGCAGTTAAAAATGCTCTAAAACCGAGTTTTAAAATTATCAAATTATTTTAAAAAATTTTGTCGGTCATACTGATTCCACCATTTTGAATTTATTTTTTACCTAATAGATTTAAATAGGTCAAATTTCATAAAAATTGAGCGAACAGTTCTAATATAAAAGAAAGTAGCCTTAAATGAAATTAATCGATTCACAAAGAATTAATCACAATAAAAAGAAAGGCAGGAAGTAAAACAAAATATATTACTGAGAAACGTAATTAGATTAATGAAGACTATTAAATTGCGTCGCCTAATGGTTAGTAAACAGATTAATCTGATATAAGTGATATTTTCTTTTAGTATTTATACACGAAAAAAATGATTTTGCTAAGGCATTTAAAAAATTAGCTAGATATATCTAAAAATAATTCTGTTGAATTTATCCAAATAATTATATGAAACTTAAACTTATGATGAGCTATAGAAAACTTTGATATTCTAGAAACTAGTTTGAGTGTTCTACATAATTATTTTGATAATACACCAAAATTATTTTCAGATTTGTATTTAGCTAAATTTTTAGAGACGGTAAATTCGTTCTCTTTGTATAAGACATCATTATTTAAGATTCAATAACAAGATTTAATACGTCCAAAAAAGATACAAGTATTATTCTTCAACATTGCCACGAGCTTATTAAAAGAATAAAAGGACAGAAAAAATAGGTTTTTTGAGATATATAAAAATTATGTCAGATAGGAATCCGCGCGAAATTAATTATGTTAAAACATTAAAATAAATACCTACATCCAAACTGATTACTATAAAACGTCAATGTTATTGTTACACTTGAGCATCCTGCATTATTATTTTAATGGTCTAACATCTTTTCAAATTTGTATCTAAATCAATTTTTATATACTTTAATAAAATTGACCTTTTTATAAATTAAAAATTTATTTTTATAAATACTAAACATTTATTTTTAATTAAACATTTTTTAAAACTACTGATACTCAAATAACTTTATTTTTAATTTATCTTTTTCGATCGAAAAAAATACATTTGATTTGTGATACAGTTTGCATAATTAAAATCAGTAAATATTTCTAGTAATAATTTTGACTCAATTTAGTATCGATTATTTCATAGTTCTTTCCTTCGTGATATAAAATCGTGATCCTTGTCGATCACATAGTTTCAATCATTCACGATTTGATAGTTACGTTTCTTCGAACTAAGGAAGGAGTTATAAAGCTCATAATGCCCAAAGGATTTGCGCGAGCCAATTGTGTTTGCCTAAAATAAGAACTCGGCCACTCTGGGATGAACTCGAGATGAAATCAGGAAGATGAGGCCGCGCGTGCGGAGATGTAGTTAGGTCGGTGGATACATAGGTAGGACCGTAAACGAGGCGCAGGTAGGGCCTGGCATCAACTGCTGGGGTTTGTGGTAGTTGATATCGACCCAGGTCGGAGGGTCGTGTAGCAGTCAGGATCGCAAGGCGCACGCCTGGACGTGGATGGGAGCGAGGTGCGAGAAGGAAAGCGGCGTAGGGTAGCGAAATAGACAGAGATAAATAGATAGAGAGACACGGAGGGTGGCGACGAGGGTGGAAGAGTGTCGATGTATATACGTACACACGGTCGTGGAAGTAGGTAGGTCGTACAGAAGAGGTAGTAGAAACCCGCGCCGGTAGTAGCAACCCGGCTAGCTAGTGCACTCCACATGCGGGTGCTAGGCGTTGCATCCCCGAGAGAGAAGGTTCGAGTTCGGTTTATCTTGGCGCGCATGTGTACGTGTACGTTGCGTGAATAGTGCGAGAATAGTGCTTGGTCTGAGTGTACGTGTACCGCGTTATCTTCTGGGTAACAGCTGCGTCAGCGAGCTCGGGAGAATCCTGGACGCTGATAGTGTTCCGTTCAGGTGCTCGGCCACCAGACTTGGAGTCGCGGGCCAAGACGAGCTATTCTCGCTCCTATCTACTCTCGTTTCGCGGCGAGGCGGTGGAACGTGCGACGAAGGGGATATCATCTGGGATTTTACCCAAGTGTGAGTGTGTTTACGGAAAAGTGCGTCATCCCGGAAACCACGGAGGCTCCATGTGCATCCACGAGGAGGAGGAAGAGAAGATAGCTGCGATCAGTCAATCGTTTCTATAGAGGCGGACGTGGTGATGCGGTAGAGTGTGACGAAAGAAGTAATGTGACGGTACCGTGGTGCGCGCTCAGCTGAAGACGACGTCGACGACGAGCGTTAAACCGGCGCCATGTCGCAGCAGGCTCCGACGAACGAGGATTCTTACCTGAGGTGTGGCAGGCCGTCGAACTTGCTGAAGACGAGCTTTAGCAGCGCCCGCCTCGAGAAGCTGTATCGCGCGTCGTCGTTGCAACAGCGTCGCGGCGGCCTCACGTGTTTCCTGATGTCGGCGATCCTGTACGGCCTCTATACAGTGTCGACACCGGGAATGGAGCTGCCGGCGCGTTGCGTCAGCGCCGTGTTCCTCAGTCTCAACTTCTTCCTGCTGGTTTGGGCCGAGAGCGGCACCAAGGCGCGTAACTCGCTCTGGTCGGTGGTGCCGTGCGTGGTCGGAGAGCTATGGATCGTGCACTTGTCTGCTCAGCTGTTCCTCAAGTCCAACAAGGTCACGCCGATGGACAGCCTGGCGTGGATGCTGCTGCTTCTCTACCTACTGTTCGCCACTTTACCGCTCAAGCTATTACGTTGTGCTAACTTAGCAGCAAGCAGCATTCTCTTGTACTTAATCGCCATAATCGGTCTCTCCAGCAAGACACTGGAGGATCTTACATCACAGCCTATCGACGTTCTGGTAGGTAACAGCTAACAGCTAACAGCGATGTGTTTCGTCGTTGATCAATCAGATCTAAACCGATGGCGGTCCTCGAAAGAGAGGGTTGGAATTCAAAGCTCGCGCCCACTCACGAG